GGAGTCGGTTAATGGATTCGCGGCTCGCTGTATCGCCGTGGAGGGGGTGGGGGGGGGGTTGGACGTTGGCTCACGCGCGCACGAGGCGAGGGGGTTGGTGTGAGAACCGTCAGCCACCAACTCCAAACGACCACTTCGCTCCGGACTTTGCGTCTCTCCCCTCCACCGCTCCTGCTTCCCGCCGCCCCCGTCGCCGCAAGCGCAGTTTGGGACTCGGGATCCGTGAGCCGCGACACTCAACTCGGTGTGCTAGCGTCAGGGAGGGGGTCTCAAGGCCATCGATCATCCATAGCTGTCCCTGACACGAGGAAGAGAGAAGGGGATGCAATGGCGAAACCACTCAAGAGACAGGATTCTGGTACTCCCTTGCTGTCTCACATGGGTGGCCCTCTATCCCCTTACCAGGACCCCTCTGTACCCCCTTACCAAGATTCCTCTGTACCCCCTTACCAAGATCCCACTGTATCCCCTTACCAGGACCCCTCTGTAGATCCTTACCAGGATCCCTCTGTACCCCCTTACCAGGATCCCACTGTATCCCCTTACCAGGATCCCTCTGTAGATCCTTACCAGGATCCCTCTCTATCCCCTTACCAGGATCCCTCTGTAGATCCTTACCAGAACTCCTCTGTACCCCCTTACCAAGATCCCACTGTATCCCCTTACCAGGACCCCTCTGTAGATCCTTACCAGGATCCCTCTGTACCCCCTTACCAGGATCCCTCTGTAGATCCTTACCAGGGTTCCTCTCTATCCCCTTACCAGGATCCCTCTCTATCCCCTTACCAGGATCCCTCTGTAGATCCTTACCAGGATCCCTCTCTATCCCCTTACCAGGATCCCTCTGTAGATCCTTACCAGGATCTCTCTGTAGATCCTTACCAGGACCCCTCTGTAGATCCTTACCAGAACTCCTCTGTACCCCCTTACCAAGATCCCACTGTATCCCCTTACCAGGACCCCTCTATAGATCCTTACCAGGATCCCACTGTAGCCCCTTACCAATATCCCACTGTATCCCCTTACCAGGACCCCTCTGTAGATCCTTACCAGGATCCCTCTGTAGATCCTTACCAGGACCCTTCTGTATCCCCTTACCAAAATTCCTCTGTATCCCATTACCAGGATCCCACTGTAACCCCTTACCAAGATCCCACTGTATCCCCTTACCAGGATCCCTCTGTAGATCCTTACCAAGGTTCCTCTCTATCCCCTTACCAAGATCCCTCTGTAGATCCTTACCAAGATCCCACTGTATCCCCTTACCAGGATCCCTCTGTAGATCCTTACCAGGGTTCCTCTCTATCCCCTTACCAGGATCCCTCTGTAGATCCTTACCAGGATCCCTCTGTAGATCCTTACCAGGATCCCTCTCTATCCCCTTACCAGGACCCCTCTGTAGATCCTTACCAGGGTTCCTCTTTATCCCCTTTCCAGGATCCCTCTCTATCCCCTTACCAGAATCCCTCTGTACCCCCTTACCAGGACCCCTCTGTAGATCCTTACCAGGGTTCCTCTCTATCCCCTTTCCAGGATCCCACTGTACTCCCTTACCAGGGTTCCTCTTTATCCCCTTACAAGGACCCCTCTGTAGATCCTTACCAGGATGCCTCTGGACTCCCTTTCCATGATCCCTATATTTCCCATTACCAAGACCCCTCTCTACCCCCTTACCAGAGTTCCTCTGCATCTCCTTACCAGAACCCCTCTCTACCCCCATACCAGAACCCCTCTCTACCCCCTTACCAGGGTACCTTTGTATCACCTTACGACTATCTCTTTGTATCCCCTCATCAGAATCCCTGTCTATCCTTGTACCGAGGTTCATATGTACATCCGTACCAGTATCCCTTTCTATCCCCTTACCAGAGCCCCTTTCTATCCCCCTACCAATACCCCTGGATAGTCCCTCACCAGGGTCCCTCTGTACCCCCTTACGTCGAGATCCCCTTCCCTTTCACACCACTCCACAACAGCAATCCCCGCGCCCACCTCTGCCTGAGGTCGAACCGGGAGCCTCCGAACTCCGCGGCTCCTCCTTGTGGCGACGGCGCGAGGAGCCGCCAGAAATTGCCGACTCAGGTGCATGCAGAGCGGCTACCATCATCATCATCAGCAGCATCAGCAGCAGCAGCATCAGTAGCCGATGCATCAGCATCATCATCAGCAGCATCAGTAGCCGATGCATCAGCATCATCATCATCAGCAGCAGCAGCGTCGTCGTCGGTATCAGCAGGGTGTTCGCGCAGGCGATACATCTCCATACGTCCACCCGGCCCCCCAGAGGTGGGGGGCTCACGTGGCGCGTGGAGGGTCCGGGAGGGGGGGCCGAGTCGTCCCCTCAGCACGGACAGCGCGGAGCGGCCAGGGTGCTTCTTCACGTGAGGGCACCGACAATCATCATAATCATAATCATCATCTAATTACCATCACGGTAATCATCACCATCATTATCTACACCCCACCATCCTCATAATCATCACCACCATCACGACCGTAGTCACTGTCACCGCAACCACCAACCCACTTGTTCAACATTTCCACGTGACGTACACCACCATCGTCGTCGACATTGCTGCCTGTCTGCAGCAAGGGTTGGTGGATCACTCACACGTGTGAGGGTAGCCAGTAGATGCCACGCCATCGAGTATAATCTTGAGTACACCTGTGCGAAGCTTTTGAGTATTATCATTTCATAAGCGTGGTGGGGTTTTTTTTTCTTCTTCTGGGAACTCGGGTTTCCTCCCGCAGAGCAGAGCACCCGATGGACAAAAAAAATAATCGGCCACATATCCCAGAGCATCTGGACCAGACCTTGATTCCAGCCGGGGTCTTACCTGGTCGGCGACCCGGAAATAATTCGGCAGACGGCACACCACATCAAGTATGCCTCTCGTCGATATGGCTGTGGCTACTAGTCACGTGCCTTCTCTTGTCTTACCGGTGAAGAGGAAAAACACATTGAGTGACAACGTAAGCCCTGAGCATGATGTAATAAATAAAAAAAAATAGTCTTAAGACCTCAACTCGGACTTTCCTGTCACGGTAGCGAGATGTTAACTACCTCGCCGGGTATGCAGGAGGTCGTGGGTTCTATCCTAACCCTGACGCCTGCATATTTGGAGTTTGTATGTTCTCTCCGTGGTAATGTGGATTTTTTTCCGGGTCCTCCGGGTTTTCCCTCCACATTTAGAATCAACGTGCGTTTAGGGTATTTGGCTGCTATAAATGTCCACGTGATAAGCCACTTTGTTGAGCTATCATTTGTGGTCAGGTCGCTTCTGAAAAAGAGCTATATAGCTCAGTGGGCCTTACCTGGTAAAATAAAATATGTTACATCTTCATTGTTGTTGTTAGGTCAATGAAGCAAAAGGAGGAGTCGGAGTCGGTGAGGCGTGGAAACGCGCGTGGAGCGGGGTCAGCGGACACGTGGTCGCCTCTTCTCGCCCCCTCCTCGAACCTGGACCCGATGTGGAGCGCGGACCCACGCCACGGTCAGCATGGCTAACCCCGGTTCTAGGACCCATATCCCATAGCCCTGCTCCCAGGACCTTGACTCTACCGCACAGCTGCACAAACACTGCACCACTCTAACGCTGATTATTGTGCCGTAATGGGGGTCCGCTCAGCAATGTTTCCCTTCCTCATCTCGAGGTTGGCGAGTGACGCGTGTTGCAGAGGTTCACGGTTCAAATCCAGTGGGCCATCCTGGTTGTTACTTCGGTTTGTAACAAAAACGTAATACTCCTACACGCCGTCTGCTTCGCAGTGGACGTCAAAGGTCCCATTGACGTCATTCGCAAGAGCAGGCCACTGTGTCGATGTCACAGTTAAGATTCGAAAAAATACCCCGCGGATTACTCAATTGGTTGGGATCGCACACAGGAGCAGCAATCATCGCCCCCCTTCCGGCAGAATAACGCCCCAGGTCACTCTTCCGAATGAGATTCATCCTGGTCTCTTGAGTTCCTACCCGGTGGACGGCTCCAGGAGTAGCCGCATGGTGAATATCTGATATGCTGCCAGCGAATGATGGAATGAGAGCGGTGGTGTCTCTTCTTCGAACTCAGCTCGACTAACCTAGCTCTCCCGACTCGGAATACTAAATCATTTGTCAGAGTCCCCTATCTCAACCCTGAGCCCCTTTCCCACCCACCGCTGGCTCCCACCTCCTATCCTCTACCTCATCTCCGCCCCCCATCCCTAAGTCCCAGGGCCCCCTCAACTCTGAGAGACGCTATAAAGGCACGTGTAGCTACACACGCCTAAGACCCAAATTAATCGTCTACACGCCGGATTTCTACATATCCCATAAAAGCGAGCAATCAATTAACATGATCATTATCAGCGTCATCTGACCACCAGCACTAACCACCATGATCAACCTCATGCACCAGTTACTTGGATGGCGGACCATCTCTGGTGGTACCAGGTAGGTGTGGACTGCGATGTGAACAGTAGATGGCAGGAGTGTAATGGATTATTGCATGTTCGCAGAGCGTTGAGAATACTCCCCTAGTTCGGGGTGGGTGGAAGCGAACCACTCACGAATGCATGAGGTTTTTTTTCGGTTATTACATCGCGTAAATATATAAATGTGTCGTTGAACCCGCCACCACCCGACACAGACAACTAGTAAGGTTTGTCACGTAAACAGAACGTGGCCAATTCGTCACGAGTACAGCGCACCGGTGTGTTGGAGAGTAAAGCCACGACATTTACAATCTGAGTACGACGTTTCGCCCGATATTACAACTAGCTTCACCAGGCGACCTGTATTATGGGTGATATTGGTCGTGAAAGCCGACGTGTTAAACTCACTCACGAATGGTTGGCATTAGCCTCATGAAGACGAGTCTTGAGAATCAGCGAGGCATACCAGAGTTAAGAATGGACATTTTTATTATTAAACGGAGACAGATGTGGGGACAGAAAATATCGTGCAACAAAGAGAGACACAAAGACTCGCCCCCCCCCCCCCCCCCCCCCATAGCCTGTAACAGACTGTTGGGGCAAGTGCTGTTAGCGAGCAGCACCTATGAAACCGACACGGCACAGGAAGGGGGTGGGTGGCCAGCACCACGCCCGGCCGCCTTTGTCTCCCTCGTGGCGGTGTGGTGGAGGTGCAGCCGCTGTGCAGATGCTTGGGGCCGTCCTGGCGTCCCCAATCGGGTTGGACGGCGGGGGTTTAAGGGGCACCCCCAGGGGTGTTGATTGCGATGAAGCCGTGAGAAGCAACAGCGGCGAGCGATCAGCAGAAGGCTCCTCATCTCGGGTTTCGAAACGAGCACTGCAAGTCCTCGTTTAACGCGGTTTGAGTGCCGCGTTAAGCAGAAGCAATTTCTCCATAAACAATTGAACGATAAAGTTTGGCGAGCTGCGAAGTTACGCACACACAGCGAGATGGCAGGACAAATAACTGGGGTACGCCGCCGTGTTACTCTTATCTTTAAGGCGCACCACACGCAGCGTTGTTGACGAACGCGTTGAGGTTATTTTTTGTTTTCAGTTGCTTGTTAATCGTGCTTGTGCACCACTGCCAAATGCAGCAGCGGCGAGCATCACCACGACGGGTCCCTTCTTCGCTCTCGTTTCAGCAGCCACTGTAGCCAAGGCGCGGTGGGGGGACGAGCGGCCTGGAACCCGGCGAGGCCTCGGGAATGACACCAAGGAGCGCCCCCCATCGCGGGCCGATGCGGGGGGCCCCGAGGAAGAGGGGGCGTGGGAGCATCCCGGCACGACGGACTCGCTCCCCAGCGGACGGGCGGCGGGCACCGAGACGGCCGAGAGGTCACGCGCCAAGGGGGGTGCACCACGCCAGAAGATGAAGAAGTCGAGCCGGGAGACGGAGGGGTGGCCGCTGAAGACCAACAGGTCACTTACGAAGACCGAGAGGTCGCCTCGGGGGCTCGGGAGTTCACCGCAGATGCTGAAGAGCCCTGGCCGGAATAGCAAGAGGTCACGGCAGGTGATAAAGAGGTCACTCCAAAACGGCAACAGGTCAGGCCAGAAGAATGAGTTGTCAAATGAAGAGCTCATAATGCCTGGTCAGGAGGCTATGTGCCCCAGTAGTTTACCTGCAGAGGAGTTACCTCGACAGGAATCACTTGCAGAGGAGACACCTGTAGAGATGTTATCCTTTGAAGAGTTACCAAAGAAGGAGCCTTTTCTGCAAGATATGTCTGTGGACGAGTTATTTGCAGAGATTATATCCATGGAATTGTTTCCTGTGGAGCAGGTACCTGTAGAAGGGTTACCTGGGCAAGAGTTATCTGTGGAGGCGTTACCTTTGCAGGAGATACTTGCAGAGGAGTCACCTATAGAGATGTTAGATTTAAAAAATGCATTTAAGATAGAGTCTTTTCTGCAAGACATGTCTGTGGATGAGTTATTTGCAGATATTCAATCATTCGAAGTGTTACCTGTGGAAGAATTAACTGTGGAAAGGTTACCTGGGCAAGAGTTACCTGTGGAGGAGGTACGTGTGGAGGACTTACCTGGGCAAGAGTTACATGTAGAGGAGGTACGTGTGGAGGAGGTACGTGTGGAGGATTTACCTGGGCAAGAGTTCAATGTGGAGGAAGTACGTGTGGAGGAGGTACGTATGGAGGATTTACCTGGGCAAGAGTTACATGTGGAGGAGGTACGTGTGGAGGAGGTACGTGTGGAGGATTTACCTGGGCAAGAGTTACATGTGGAGGAGGCACGTGTGGAGGATTTACCTGGGCAAGAGTTACATGTGGAGGAGGTACGTGTGGAGGAGGTACGTGTGCCGAAATGGCCGGTACCTGTAGCGGGATCACCTGCGAAGATATCCGTTACAAAGCCATCACCAGTGGAGGAGCCATTGGCCATGTCACCGGTAAGGGGTCTGTTGGAAAAATTACCTGCGGAGGATGCATTACCATTGGAGTCATCTCACATAGAAGAATCGCCTGCAGAGTGGTTATTGAAGGGCGCGCCCGTCAAGGATCCACCGGAGAGACTACCTGTGCGAGAGTTGTTGGACAATTTACCTGTGAAGGAGCCGTTGGATGAATTGCCTGCGCAGGTCCCAGCAGGAGTATCACCTGTGGAGTGCACATCGAGAGCATTGTCACCCGTGGGGAATTCATCGCAAACACCTGTGCAGTTGTTGTTGGGACCGCCTCCCGTGGGCGACTCATTGGACTCACCTGTGCAGGACCCGTTGGTAGAATCACCTACAGAGCAGCCATTGGAAGGTTCAGCAGTCAAGAATTCATTGAAAACATTACTTGTGCAAGAGTTCTCGGCAAAGTCACCTGTGAAGAATTCCCTGGAAGAATCACCCGTGGAAGATTCATCGCAGTCACCTGTACAGATGTCAACGGGATCGCCCCCCGCGGATGCCTCAAGGGCAGAATCACCTGTGGAGAAGTCATTGAATGAGATTCTAGTGAAGAATGCATTGGAAGCATTACCTGTGCCAGGGTCATCACCAGCATTTCCTGTGGAACGATCACTGCAAGACTCAGCTGTGAAAATGTCATTGGAAGAATTACCCAGGGAAGCCTCACCTGCACATAGGACAACAGTGGCGCTGCATCCAGGCGATGGTGATGTTGGCCATGGTGGTGGTGGTGATAGCAGAACAGAAGATGGTGATGATGTTAAAGATGATGATGAAGATGGTTGTGTTGGTGCCACTAAATATGGTGATGAAGATGGCGGTAATGGTAAAAATGGAGATGGTGTTCACGGGGGCAATCAAGATGGTAGTGATGTTGAAGATGGTGATGATGTTAAGGATGATGCAGATGGGGATGGGGACACTGAAGATGGTGGTAATGGTAAAGATGGTGGTGATGGTGGAACAAAATATGGTGGTGATGGTAAAGATGAAAATGATGACGATGGTGATTTTGAAGATGGTGGTGATGGTAAAGATAATGATGATGAAGATGGTAGTGATGAGGGCACTGAAGATGGTGGTGATGGTAAAGATGGTGGTGATGGTGGAACAAAATATGGTGGTGATGGTAAAGATGAAGATGATGACGATGGTGATTTTGAAGATGGTGGTGATGGTAAAGATGATGATGAAGATGGTGGCGATGGCAGAACTAAAGATGGTGGTGATGGGGACAATAAAGCTGGTGGTGATGTTAAAGATGATGCAGATGGTGGTGATGGTGGAACTAAAGATGGTGGTGATGGTAAAGATGAAGAGGGTGGTGATGCTTGGGGTGCAAGGGGACTCTCCACGCAGAGGAACAAAAGGGGACCACGTGGCTCCAGCAAGCCTCACCAACATCCTGACGGCCCCACTCCTCCATCGGGGGTCGCGCGTGGTTTGAAGACCCCGGCAAGACCCCGGGGCGCCAGGGTTGGGGTTACAACCCGCAGCGCGGGGCGCGAGAGGGCGAGACCTCGGCGGAGCGAACGGCTGCTGAGGAAGTGACTTTTCACATTTGCCGATGTTGTCAGGGAAGATACGAATAAAGTTATTGCACTCTACACGAGTTTGATGATTGCTCAACAGAAGCCCCGCGGGGTGCAGAGAAAGCATTGAGCGCAGTGAGGATTGAAATTGGGCACGCGCGTGTCAGCATGTGGGAGTGTAGCGGTTAGGGCGCTGTGCTAACGAATTCGGCTACTTGGGTTCGATTTCCGCCCACGTCCAACACCAGTGACGACTATCTGAACCAGTCCCGGGCCATCCTCTAGGTCGACTCAGCCTCAAATAAGTACCAGTTGCGATGCATAAACATCGTTACTCGGGAGAAAAAAGGCCGCCGGTCGTGGTGCCGACCACATCACCACCTCGTGTGCTGTCCCGGCCTTCACAGGTGCTCGCTAACGGCACTATATTTATGCCACACGAGGAATCTTTGTCTTTGCATAACGCATGTGTTGCGACTGTGTCATTGGAGCCAACACCGCCATCGCCACAAATTGCACAGCTGGCCATAAAGGTCATTCCCCCTTCTCGTGGTCGCTCACTTTTGCGGGTGCGTTGACTCCGAAAGAGTTAAAACCAGCCTCGAACCCTCAAGCGATCAGATAGAGGACGGCTGAGATACCAGAATGCTGGCCTTGGCACTTTGGAGATTCTGGGTTCAGATTACGGGGGGGCCTCCTGTGATTAAACCGGTTCCCCAAGTCCAGTGCCACGGTAAGTCGGAGATGTTAACTACCTCGCCTGGTATACAGGAGCACGTGGGTTCGATCCCGACCCTGACGTCTGTATATTTGAGTTTGCGTGTTCTCCCCATGGTCGCGTGGATTTTTCTCGTCCCTCCGGTTCTTCCCTCCACATTTAGAAACACGCGTTTCGAGTATTTAGCTGCTTTAAATTTCCACGTGATAAGCCACTTCGTTGAACTATCATTTGTGGCCAGGTCACTTCTAAATTAGAGTTATATAGAGCACAGGGGCCCTAGCTGATCAAATAAAAAATAGTATAGTTTAGAGTGAATGATCTCCGCCCCCCGTACCCGATGACCGGCACGCGCACATAAATAAACCAACCCATTACATTTGGTTCTGCACCCTCATTATTTCTCATAAATCATCACGCTTGGGCATGACACGGATCGGTTCGACTTCCACTCTCAAGTGGCAGGGCGAAGAGTGGCAAAGTGCCGCCGCCTCTGGCTGGGCAACAGAGGGCACTTGAGCGGATATCTCAGGGGTATCTCTGCGAGATCTCTGGCTGGGCAACAGAGGGCACTTGAGCGGATATCTCAGGGGTGGCTCTGCGAGATCTCTCGCTGGGCAACAGAGGGCACTTGAGCAGATATCTCAGGAGTAGCTCTGCGAGATCTCTCGCTGGGCAACAGAGGGCACTTGAGCGGATATCTCAGGAGTAGCTCTGCGAGATCTCTCGCTGGGCAACAGAGGGCACTTGAGCAGATATCTCAGGGGTAGCTCTGCGATATCTCTCGCTGGGCAACAGAGGGCACTTGAGCGGACATCTCAGGGGTGGCTCTGCGAGATCTCTGGCTGGGCAACAGAGGGCACTTGAGCAGATATCTCAGGGGTAGCTCTGCAAGATCTCTCGCTGGGCAACAGAGGGCACTTGAGCGGATATCTCAGGGGTAGCTCTGCGAGATCTCTCGCTGGGCAACAGAGGGCACTTTAGCGGATATCTTAGGGGTAGCTCTGCGAGATCTCTCGCTGGGCAACAGAGGGCACTTGAGCAGATATCTCAGGAGTAGCTCTGCGAGATCTCTCGCTGGGCAACAGGGCACTTGAGCAGATATCTCAGGGGTAGCTCTGCGAGATCTCTCGCTGGGCAACAGAGGGCACTTGAGCGGATATCTCAGGAGTAGCTCTGCGAGATCTCTCGCTGGGCAACAGAGGGCACTTGAGCGGATATCTCAGGGGTAGCTCTGCGAGATCTCTCGCTGGGCAACAGAGGGCACTTGAGCAGATATCTCAGGAGTAGCTCTGCGAGATCGCCTCACGCGAACGATTCTCTTAACAACACTCCCGAGGCGATACATTCTGGCGAGATGCCACGTTTCATGATCTAATAAAGTCGAAAGCAAACAATTTAAATAATGCACACTAAGCACTGCCTGGAGCAGGTGTATATCGCGTTGTCTGGAGTTCATCATTAACTCGGCTATCGGTAGGGTCACGGTCACGGAAGGCTCAGAGTCGTGGGAGATTAGGGTTGTTACGCCCATTGGTGGATTAGCCACGGTGCATCGACCCCCGCGCGTAATCAGTGCCGCGTACAACAACAGCCAATGGTTGGTGGATCAGGGAGAGATACGCACAACTCCCTAAAGCCCGCTGGGGCGATGACGCAGTCCACTTGCTGTGCCGCCTTCTCCTGGCGAGGCAGGGCTACGGCTGCGTCTCGACGCCCACGGGACGGGAGTTTGACAGCATCTGTTTGTGATCCACCAACCCTCGCTGCTTCCTCCACAGTGCTTGATTACAGGCTAAGTGCATAGCCACCTTTGTCTCTCCGGTATCCGTATTTACACACCGTACCAGGTACTCATTTAAGGTCTGAGACGACCAAGGGGGGGAAGCCCAGGACTGCTTAAAATCTTCGCCACTGTTAATGGTTGTGATCGGGAAGCGAACTGAAATCGCCTTCCCGATACATCGTACACACACACATTATACTCATGTACAGTACACACACACCTATCACAATAACAACCACCATTTGCCACTAAGTGGCGGTGACGTCACCACGACGCTTGTGTCAGGCCATGTGCACCTTGAGGCCACGTGAAGTGTCGAACGCCCACTGGCAGGAGGTCACGGGGCAGACCCAGGTGCCACGGGTCGACTGACTGAGATGACTGGCTGATGCACCACCTGTGCCCACTACTGTGCCAACCTGCTGTGCTTTAGCCACCCGGCACTCCGCTCGTTGTTGTGAGTGTCGCTCCTCCGCCCTCCGTTGTTGTTGGAGGGCGACTGCCTCCAACTGCCCAGTAGCGTCCTTCACGAGCCTCCTCCACAGAGGCCGATCTTGACACCGCTGGTACCAGTCATCGGCAAGTCCACTCAGCTCCACGTCCTCCTGTACCACATCACTCCATCTCTTCTCTAGCTCGTGCCGCGCCCGTTTAGCCCCCTCGATCCGGCCGAACAAAAGCTGTTTCGGCATACGGTGGCTGGGCATGCGGCTACATGACCCAGCCAACGCAGCCTTGCCTGCCGGAGGAGCTCACCGATGGGACCTTGCCCAGATCTTTCAAGGATTTGTGAGCTCCTCACACAATCCAGCCTGGTTAAACCCAGCATGGATCTTAGGCAGGCTAGCCTAAATGTTTCTAACCGGTGAAGATGTTCCATTAGGGGGGTCCACGTTTCGCAAGCGTAGAGAAGGGAGGGAATGACCGTGGCCGAGAAGACCTGAAGCTTAGTGCGGAGCGACAGACCAGGTAGCTTCCCCACAGCGTTACGCAACCGATGAAAAGATATTGCCGCTCGACTGATTCGGAGTGATGCCTCTGCTGTTAAACTGGAGCCGGTCATAAGCACACTGCCCAGGTATGGGAAACTCTCCACTCTCCACTCTATCCACAACTGCCCCATCACCGATTGGGAGTTGTGGGGGTGGAGTGTCAGATGGTACAAAATACCCAGGCAGGTGCTTAGTTTTGGTGGGGCTGATGGTAAGGCCCCACCTCTTAGTGGCACGCTCCAGTCTCAGCAGCAGCGTCTCCAACTCCTCCTCTGAATGAACAGCTATTACCAAATCATCGGCATACATAACGTGGCTGAGCAATAGGGAGCCATCCCTTGACCGCACCCGGGCATCGATCAGCCTCCCATTATATCTGTACCATATGGAGATTCCCCTGGTACAGCTATTGAAGGCCTCACGAACTACGTGGTCAAAATAGATGTTAAATAATGTGGGAGCCAGAGGACATCCCCGTCGCACCCCAAGGTGTACAGGGAATGTCTCTGACTTCCGGCCCGCTCACCGTACACACACACACACACCGCACACACACACCGTACACACACTGTACACAGTACAGTGATACCGGCGCAAGCGATACGGCACCATAAACTCTGTACGAGACCTGGGCAGGCGTCAATTGAAGTGAATTCCATTGCAACGGACCCGGGACCCCGGGGGATCATTAACCCAAATACCTCCTCGGGGTTAGCGTCCCTGACGCAGGTAGTGCCTGCTTCGCCGATCTGACAGCCGGATAAGAACGAGGGGAGTCCTTCCCCGCCGTGTAGAGAAGAGATCCCACCACACCACCCGGTGTAGAGAAGAGATCCCACCTCACCACCCCCCCCCCCATCTTCCGATATCGGAACACGATGTGTGGATATCAATGTGTCGTTAAACCCGCCACCACCCGACACAGCCAATTGGTAAAGTTTGTCACGTCAACAGAACGTGGCCAATTCGTTGCCCGTACAGCGACACCGGTTGTGTCGGGGAGCAAATCCACAACATTTAAAATCTGAGTACGAGATCGTAAATGGCTAAGGAAGTTCAGCAAAGACAAAGATCCCCAGTATAGCCTTCACAGACTGTAGGGGCAAGTGCTGTTAGCCAGCAGCTAATAAGGCCGGCACGACACACGAGGGGATGGGTGGCCAACACCACGGCCGACCGCCTTTGTCTCCCTAGTGCCGATGTTTACACACCGCACCAGGTACTCATTTGAGGCTGAGTCGACCTAGGGGAGGCCCATGACCGGCTCAAATAATCGTCACTGGGTGTTGGCCGTCAGCGGGAATCCAACCCGGGTCGCCAGGTTCGTAGGGCAGCGTAGCGCTAACCACTGCACTACCGCTCCCCCAGCAATCCCTCCAGCACACGCACACCAGCTGATTTCATCGCTCCATCTCCACGGTGTACATGGCCCTCTGACGGGTTGCCAATCTTCCGTCTGCCACCCACCCCAAGTCACTCGTCTTGGCCAACGGCCTCCAAACCTTACGGCCCAAACCTTCAAACCTCTTAAGCATGCGTTCTCTAAATGCACGTGATCCTCTCTCTCCGACCCACGATGGGTATCATCGACACGTATATACGTTGTTTCATATCGATAACAGTACATTCATTCGTCGAGACTTGCACATTCCTCGCCGCGTGCTGTTAAACAAACGTTAATCATTATTGGGGAAGGCTGTAAAAATTTAAAGTTGCTTCGTATCACCTCGTACGGAGATAAGAGAACGTAGCACGGGTTAAGGTCCCCCAGTCAGAGCCGCGGCCAGGTGGATAGCATCAGTGACCCCCCCCCCGCCCCCCCGGGGTGCTGTGACGTGGACGGTCGAGTCACGTGGCAGCGGACCGTATAAAAAGGAGGCAGCGAGCCCCTAGCTCATTCGCTGTCTTTGCCAAGTTGGGTGACTTATCTTTTACTGGCCGCCGCGTGAGAGAGCCGAAGCGACACAGCGAGTAGCGATGGGTTCGCCTGCAGATGAAGTAAACATAACGGACGCCATTATGGAGGTCGACGGCTGCCTGTTCCCCGCAGACATCATCTCGCGAGAGGGGCTCGCCTACACCAAGAACTTCCCCGTGCGCGAGGACGACGTCTTTAACGTCACCTACCCGAAGTCTGGTACGGAGGGACTCGCTCGCACACGCAGGGGCACAGGGGGACAGAGAGACATCCTGGAGAGATGGGGGGGGGGTGGAGAGACACACAGAGAGACACACGCAGGGGCACAGGGGGACAGAGAGACATCCTGGAGAGGTGGGGGGGATAGACACACAGAGAGACACACGCAGGGGCACAGGGAGACAGAGAGACATCCTGGAGAGGTGGGGGGGGGGGATAGACACACAGAGAGACACGCAGGGGCACAGGGGGACAGAGAGACATCCTGGAGAGGTGGGGGGGAGAGACACAGAGAGACACACGCAGGGGCACAGAGGGACAGAGAGACATACACATAGAGAGTGGGTGGGAGGGAGAGACACACAGAGAGGCACACGCAGGGGCACAGGGAGACAGAGAGACATCCTGTACAGAGAGAGTGGGTGGGAGGGACACAGAGAGGCACACGCAGGGGCACAGGGGGACAGAGAGACATCCTGTACAGAGTGGGTGGGTGGGGGGGAGAGACACAGAGAGGCACACGCAGGGGCACTGGGGGACAGAGAGACATCCTGTACAGAGTGGGTGGGGGGGAGAGACACACAGAGAGGCACACGCAGGGGCACAGAGAGACATACACAGAGAGAGAAACACGCAGGACCCACATGCATATGGAGACGCGCTCACACGCACGCACATAGGGGCATGCACAAAGAAGCACAGAGAGACATCCTGCACAGAGAAAGAAGTGGGGAGAGAGACACACAGAGAGACACACACAGGTACCATATACATACAGAGACACTCACTTAATAAACGAAAGGCATACCGAGCTACAAAAGACAACGATCCCCCGTGTAGTCCAACACGGCTGATGGTGCTGTTCGCGTGCAACCTGCGAAGGCTGGAACGTGGCACGCAAGGGGTTGTTGGGTGGCCACCACCACGCCCGACCGCCTTTGTCTCCCTAGTGGCGATATTTACACATCGCACCAGGTACTCATTTAAGGCTGAGTCGACCTAGGGAACGCCCAGGACCGGTTCAGATAATCGCCACTGGCGTTGACCGTGAGCGGGAATCGAACTCGGGTCGCCGGGTTCGTAGCGCAGCGCGCCAAGCACTGCACTACCGATATCCATGTTGTACAGACACAGAGATACACACAACTGCATACATACACAGATACAAAGACAAAGGTCCCCCGTATAGCCTTAACAGACTGTAGGGGCAAGTGCTGTTAGCGAGCACCTATGAAGGCCGGCACGACACACACGAGGGGGTGGGTGGCCAGCACCACGCCCGGCCGCCTTTGTCTCCCTAGCGGCGATGTTTACACATCGCACCAGGCACTCATTTGAGGCTGAGTCGACCTACAAGCAGACACACATACGTGTGCACATAGCGACATGCAGAGAGAGATACACAGAGGTACACACAGAGGCAATACACACACGTACGGCCATACACACTGACAAAAGCACACACACACACACGTGCGGACATCGAGACGCACGCGAAAGACGCTCGCGTACACAACAACAATGGCAACAACAACAACAAAGCGACCGCCATTCGCCACTCAGCGATGGTAATCACGACGCTTGTGTTTCAGGATGGGTGCACCGTCACGTGACACTGGTGCCCCCCCCCCCCCGCAGACACGGGCACAAAGATTGCAAACACATTTTAGATTGACAGCACATTTCTTTAAAACCGCTTTTGTGTCTTTAGTTTATTGTTCTTCCCCCGCACGGTTGACCACGTACGGTGCGAAAGAAACTCAACATACATACGCCTCCGATGAGCACGGTTGGCTACGTACGGTGCGAAGTTCAACACACACACACAGAGGCATGCACCAGGGTGTGTCCACATCGCGGCACGCACGCATCTCGCCGCACAGTATCTGGGTCTCATCTCCCCCCCCACCGCCCCTCCTCCTCCATGCCCCCCAGGCACCACGTGGATGCAGGAGATCCTGAGTCTCATCATGAACGACGTTGACATCTCAAAAGTGGAGTCGGTGCCAAACTGGAATCGCGCGCCGTGGCTCGAGCTGGCCACGGCTCCCGGCTACCTGGACGGGCGCGAGTCCCCTCGCCTGGCCACCACTCACGTGTACGCCACCTTCGCGCCCACCCAGATTATGCAGGGCAAGGGCAAGGTGAGCGCACGTGTGGGTGTGTAGGTGTGTGGGTGTGTGTGTAGGTGTGTGTGTGGGTGTGTGAATGGGCTAGCGGTAGTGCAGCGGTTAGCGCGCTTGCGCTACGAGAGAAAGACATCCTATACAGAGAGAGTGGGGGGTGGGGGGAGAGACACACAGAGAGACACACGCAGGGGCACAGGGGGACAGAGAGACACACAGAGAGAGAAACACGCGACCCGGGTTCGATTCCCGCTCACATCACAGTCAACACCGGTGACGATTATCTGAACCGGGCCTCCCCTAGGTCGACTCAGCCTCAAATGAGTACCTGGTGCAGTGTGTAAACATCGCCACTGGGAAGACAAAGGCGGCCGGGCGTGGTTACTAACCACTCGCCCCCCTGTGTGCCCTGCCGGCCTTCATAGGTGCTCGCTAACAGCACTTGCTTCAACAACCTGTTAAGGCTGTTACTGGGGGATATTTGTCTTTAAATGAGCTAAACGGGCAAGGCCCGGGCTGGAGAAGAGGTGCACTGACGTGGAACAGAAGGATGTGGAGCTGAGTAGACTTGCCTGATGACCGGTACCAGTGGTTTTCAAGATCGGCTTCTGTGGCATGTAGAGAGCTGGGCGAAATTTAAAAAAAACAAAAAATTATTGCTGTGGTTTTCACACCTGATGATGATTGCTTGTGTTGCAGTCGAAACGTCGTGATAATTAAATTTTTAATATTTTTATTATTTTATTGCGTCCTTTCTACGTGACTTTACCGAAAGAACCAAGAATATAACATCCCCCCTGATCCTCCTCTCTGCGGCCCCCCATCCCTCAGGTCGTCTATGTGTACCGCAACCCCAAGGACACGCTCATATCGTTCTACCACTTTCACAACATGGCGAAATTCCTATCCACGCCGGAGTCGTTCGAGAGCTTCGTGTCGGACTTCATGAACGAAAAACGTGAGCACGCGGAAGGATTGCGAAATGGAGGAGTGGAGAGGATGGGGAGAATGTGGGGTGGAGTAGAGAGGGAGTGAAGGGAAAGAATGTGGAGTGGAGTAGAGAGGTAGAGAGTGGAGGGAGAGAATGTGGAGTGGAGTAGAGAGGGAGTGGAGCGGGAGAATGAGGAGTGTAGTAGAGAGGGAGTGAAGGGGGAGAATGTGGAGTGGAGTAGAGAGGGAGTGCGTGAAGGGAGAGAATGAGGAGTGGAGTAGAGAGGGAGAGAGTGAAGGGAGAGAATGTGGAGTAGAGAGGGAGAGAATGTGGAGTGTAGTAGAGAGGGAGAGAATGTGGAGTGTAGTACAGAGGGAGAGAATGTGGAGTGGAGTAGAGAGGGAGTGAGTGAAGGGAGAGAATAAGGAGTGTAGTAGAGAGGGAGAGAATGTGGAGTGGAGTAGAGAGGGAGTGAGTGAAGGGAGAGAATGTGGAGTGTAGTAGAGAGGGAGTGAGTGAAGGGAGAGAATGTGGAGTGGAGTAGAGAGAGTGGAGTGAAGGGAGAGAATGTGGAGTGGAGTAGAGAGGGAGAGAATGAGGAGTGTAGTAGAGAGGGAGTGAAGGGAAAGAATGTGGAGTGGAGTAGAGAGAGTGGAGTGAAGGGAGAGCTTACGGAGATTTGTATAAATCTGTAAAAACTTGATTTGGCTGCCCAATGTCACGATTGTTCAAGAGAAACAAAGCCGATGTTGTTGTCACTGCCTAAGAAGTCACGTGCTCAGCTGGACACCTTTGCTTGAGTGGCACGCATAGAAGCAGGAGGGCAAGGGTTTGTTCACCTCATTTGTGCTTCATGTGCAACTGCTCCCAGCACTTCACCTGTGAACACCCCACGCATGATCCCAGTGTGTCGGAAAAGCATCACGCCTCCGATTAGCACGGCTGGCCACGTACGGTGCGAAAGAAGTGCAACATAAATGCACGGATAACTGCGATCAGACGTTACCCATCATCCACACCTCTTCGTCTATCCACTGCTGGATGGAAGGCGTCTTCCCCACACCACGTTGGGTCATGAGGATTGTTTAAGTGTACACCATCATGCTGGTTAGTGACGTTTGGCGGATATATTATCTTATACATATAAAAAAGTGTATTATATAGTGCCTTAATCCAAGGCGCTTTACAATACTGTCATTATAAAATAGTACATACTATGATAGTGGTCAAAATAAAGTGGTGGGGTAGTTATGGTGACAGGAGAGCAACGTGAGAATTTATTCCGAGACAAACCTGATTCTGATGAGACCCGGCACGTCGAAACCAAACCACTTGGGCTTATCCTGAAAGCAATGCTGCGGCTGACTGCCAGAAGGCAGTGTGTGTGCGCCTGATGGGATGTGTAAAGCACACTTTGATATATAAATGTTAATGTGGCGAGATGGATATTTGAATGAGGCGTACTGTCCACGTATGGGTTTCGTCATTTGTATTCTCCAACAACAAGGCGAATTATTATTTCACGGTATCATCTGAAAAACACAAAACATAAATATTTCAATCTTGATTTGAAGCTTTCGTGACTGCAGGAATCCATACTCTTTGGTTCTTTCGGTAAAGTCACAGTGGAACTGCTGGATATTTTTTTCCGCCCGAGGACGACCGCTTGTGTTGCGATCGAAACGTCATGATATATTAATCATAATTTGTTTTATTTTTCTACCTACGTGACTTTACCGAAAGAACCAAAGCATATAAATATTTCAGTTGTTGGATCTTGTCACCGAGAGCGTGAGTGACTTGAGGCTGACTTGGGACCGTAATGAGTTTGTATGTTTGTATGTTGAACTTTTTTCGCAACCTACGTAGCCAACCGTGCTAACCTCTTCCTCCACATGTTGCTGATGTTGCAGTTTCCTTTGGGTCCTGGTTCGAGCACATCAAGACCTGGATGGACGTGAGAGATAAAGCCAACATAATATTCATCGCCTATGAAGATTTGCGCAAAGTACGAGATGCTCGCTCACTCACTCACTCACCCACCCCAATCACTCAACAGCTCAGCCAGTCACTTGCCCACACATCCACTCAGTCACCCACCCATCCATTCACTCGTATGTAGTCACTCATAATAACCGCCCACTCGGTCACTCCCCACTCCACTCGCAACTCACATAGAGTACGTATTCACCCACTCAAATCGCCCATTGCATCACACATTTCTTCACTCCCGCACATCTGATTAGCACATTTGGCTAGGATTACACATCCACTTAGCCACTCAACGACGAATATCCACTGTATAGTCTTTAACACATTGCTGGGGCGAGTGCTGTTTGCGAGCACCTATGAAAGCGGGAACGGCACATGGGGAGAAGGTGAGTGGCCAACGCCACGCCTTGGTCGCCTTTGTCTCTTCAGCGCTGATGTTACATCGCACAAAGTAATCATGTATAAGGCTGAGTCAACCTAGGGGAGGCTACTAACGAACCAACTATTTGTATGTTTCCAGGTAGGGCCCACTGAGCTACATAGCTCTCTTTCAGAAGTAACCTGGCCACAAATGATAGCCAAATACTCTAAACGCGTGTTTCTCAATGCGGAGGGAAAAACCGAAGGACCCGGAGAAAAATCCACGCGACCACGGGGAGAGAGAGAGACACGCAAACTTCAAATATACAGGCGTCGGGGTCGAACCCTCGACCTTCTGCACACCAGGCGAAGTAGTTAACATCTCCCCACCGACACATCCACTCGCTAAACCATAAACCACCCCCCGCCACTCCCCACCCACCCGGACTCCCCCCCCATCCCCTCCCCAGGACCTGGCCGGCTCGGTGACTCGCATCGCCACCTTCCTCGGCAAGAAGCTGGACGCCGAAAAGCTGAAGGCCTTGGTGGACCACTGCAGCTTCTCCAGCATGAAGAACAACAACATGGTCAACTACAGCGAGGTATGAAACCTACCGCAAGCCATGATCTCGACCCCGATCCTAACCCCAGTTCTGTTCGACTCGTGCGCATCATGGCATCAGCAACACGTTCAGGAGCGAGACGCCAACGTCGAGCTCTACGTCGAGGAGGGAGAGAGTCAGAGAGAGATTTCGTGTCGTGTTTTGCTGTTCCTCGTCCTCCAATGAAGGAGCGCAGACCACAGCGGTTTGTTATGCGGTCCATAGTTTGGGTCGTATGGCAACAATCGCTCTACCATAGCATGCGTCTTTACATTTTCCATTCATGGAGGTTGGGTGGCGCATCCGCCTGCTGCCGATGTCCTGATGCGGTTGATGGTTTCACCACCGGTGTCTTTGAGTAGGAGGAGGAATGGTACTGGTAGGAACCTCCTGGTTACACCAGCCCACAGGGGATTATTGTGTCCGTCCGTCCGTCGTGCATCCAAAAATGGGAGGGGTGGGGCTGGGTGGAGAGGGGAGTGTGGGGAGGGGCTGGGTGGGGAGGGAGGGGCTGGGTGGGGAGGGTGGGGCTGGGTGGGGAGGGGCTGGGTGGGGAGGGTGGGGAGGGGCTGGCTGGGGAGGGTGGGGAGGGGCTGGGTGGGAGGGCTGGGGCTGGGTGGGGAGGGGCTGGTCACCCCGTGGTGCCCTTATAAAACACAACGTTTAAACTACTCACGCCGGCTTGTGCCCGCCCTTACAGTCGGGCATATTTGCGGAATACACCACGTGGTGCCGTTGACCCTGGCCATTGACCGAGCAACCCAACGTTCCTACCAGCTCACTCTGCAGGAATATGTTAAAGCCAGCAAGTTGGGTGCAGTGTTGTGTGGGTCTGGGTGAGATTCTAGAATGATGAGAAGTTGATTCGCGGCTCGCTGTATCGCCATGGGTCTCTGTTGGGTTACGTTGGCTCACGCGCGCACGACGTGGTTCAGTGAAGGAGATGTGCGCGCGATCGGCCTGCTGTCGATGTCCTGATGCGATTGATGGTCACACCGGTGGCTTCGAGCAAGCGACGGCGCGCGCTCCATCCTCCTGACATCTGCGAAGACTCTTCTCGCGGGGTTGTTGAGAGTAAACGTGAGCCGGGCCATATCCCTTGACCGGTCCGGCACGGCTCCGGTCTGCGACTTCGTGACCGTGGGTTGGGGTCGTTTCGGAGACTCAGTTTGTGTAAAAATAACATTTTATCTTTGTCATCCTCAGGTACCAAGGACCTATTTTGATAGAGGGCAAAAGTTCATGCGCAAGGGTGAGTTTTTAGTGCGCGGAGGTGCGCCGATGGATGTGTGATTGCGTGTGTTAGCGAGTGTAAACATCGCCACTAAGGGAGGCAAATGTGGCCGGGCGTAGTGCGGCCACCTACCCCCTCGTGTGCCGTACCGGCCATGATAGGTGCTCACAAAAAGCACTCACCCCAATAGTCTGTTCAGGCTATACGGGGGATCTTTGTGTTAGCGAGCACCTCTGAAGGCCAGCACGGCACACGAGGGGGTCAGTGGCAAGCACCACGCCGCCTTCATCTACCTTAGTGGCCGCCTTTGTCTCTCCTAGTGGCGATGTTTACACTTCGCACCAGGTACTCACTTGAGGCTGAGTCGACGTAGGGGAGGCCCAGGACTGGTTCAGATAATCGTCATCGATGTTGGCCCATGAGCTGCGCCGCTAACTGCTACCACTACCGCTCCCCGTTTAGCGAGCACTTCGCACGCTCGTACAACGCTCACATTTACGTCATGGCGGTCATATTGCACAGGAGACTTCATGCCACAACGACAGCCATGTTGAGTCAGCATTGTTTTCCGGGCAGCCGATTGGCTGGTTGCAGCGGGAGCGATGACGTATTCTCCAGCAACCACTGATTTTTTTTGTTGGGGGGGGGGGGGGGGAGCGCTCACGCACAGACACTCCGTGTTGCTCACTCCGCACTTTTTAGACGTATGCAAACCCCTGGCTGGTAGGATTTACGAAGTTCTTTCTCAATCTATATCCAGCTCCCAGGTATTTTGTATTTTATGTTGGACTTACTTTCACGTAAAGTTTCCAGCAATTATACTGGGGGGTAGGGGGGGGGTGGTTGTGCTACTATGTGTTTTGTACAGCGCCGATGTTCCAACGTTTCGCACCACATGCTTGAGTGGGTGGGAGCTTCTTAGGGCAGAGCGGTTGTGACGATGGCGCCTTCACTCGCTCGCAGGGACCGTGGGCGACTGGAAGACGATGTTCACGGTGGCGATGAACGAGGAGTTCGACGCTTTCGTCCGCGAGAAGATGAAGGGATACGAACTCGACGACGGATGGACCAGCGACACAAAGTGACTGTCGCGACACAAAGTGGCACCGGCACATGGCAGAACAGCAACTAGGATACGGCACGTGCGATAGCCTGATTTTGTTGAGAGAGAGAGAAAAGCACACAATCCTGCCTAATGCTGCATAGAGAGTTTTAACGTTTAATGTCACCTGATTATGAGAGTAACTATGCAATGTGTTGACTCATTATACACCTTCGGTTTCCATAGCATTTCATATATTATTGGTGGGAGTTACCATCACTCGAGCACATAAGCAGGAAACCACGCCACAGGTATTGAATGGCAATGTATATTTCACTGTGTTCTGAATGCTTGTACAGCTCTTTGTTTCAAAGAAAAAATAAAGCAATGCCGCAGGAGCTGCTTCCAAAGCTAAATTGTATTTTTGTTTTCTAGCCGCCGGTGTAATCATAAACACTCACGACTATGAAGAAGGGCCACGGCCCGAAACGTCGCCTATTACAGGCATACCCCTTATAGTGCTGCCTCTTATAACGCTGTTTCATTATACCATTCTTTGTCCTGGAGGAAATAATCCTGCGCGGATCAGCCCATATATAGAAGAGGGCATGGCGTTGCCCATTGGAGTAGCTCTGCGAGATCTCTCGCTGGGCAACAGAGGGCATATGAGCGGATATCTCAGGGGTAGCTATGCGAGATCTCTCGCTGGGCAACAGAGGGCACTTGAGCGGATATCTCAGGAGTAGCTCTGCGAGATCTCTGGCTGGGCAACAGAGGGCGCTTGAGCGGATATCTCAGGGGTAGCTCTGCGAGATCTCTCGCTGGGCAACAGAGGGCACTTGAGCGGATATGTCAAGGGTAGCTCTGCGAGATCTCTCGCTGGGCAACAGAGGGCACTTGGCGGATATCTCAGGAGTAGCTCTACGAGATCTCTGGCTGGGCAACAGAGGGCACTTGAGCGGATATCTCAGGGTTACCTCTGCGAGATCTCTCGCTGGGCAACACAGGGCACTTGAGCGGTTATCTCAAGTAGCTCTGCGAGATCTCTCGCTGGGCAACAGAGGGCACTTGAGCGGATATCTCAGGGGTGTCTCTGCGAGATCTCTCGCTGGGCAACAGAGGGCACTTGAGCGGCAATCTCAGGGCTAGCTCTGCGAGATCTCTCGCTGGGCAACAGAGGGCACTTGAGCGGATATCTCAGGGGTGGCTCTGCGAGATCTCTAGCTGGCCAACAGAGGGCACTTGAGCGGATATCTCAGGAGCAGCTCTGTGAGATCTCTCGCTGAGCAACAGAGGGCACTTTAGCGGATATCTCAGGCGTGGTTCTGCGAGATCTCTCCCTGGGCAACAGAGGGCACTTGAGGGGATATCTCAGGGGTAGCTCTGCGAGATCTCTCACTGGGCAACAGAGGGCACTTGAGCGGATATCTCAGGAGTAGCTCTACGAGATCTCTGGCTGGGCAAAAGAGGGCACTTGAGCGGATATCTCAAGGGTAGCTCTGCGAGATCTCTCGCTGGGCAACAGAGGGCACTTGAGCGGATATCTCAGAAGTAGCTCTGCGAGATATCTTGCTGGGCAACAGAGGGCACTTGAGCAGATATCTCAGGGGTAGCATAATGAGATCTCTCGCTGGGCAACAGAGGGCACTTGAGCGGATATCTCAGGGGTGGCTCTGCGAGATCTCGCTGGGCAACAGAGGGCACTTGAGCGGATATTTCAGGAGTAGCTCTACGAGATCTCTGGCTGGGCAACAGAGGGTGCTTGAGCGGATATCTCAGGGGTAGCTCTGCGAGATCTCTCGCTGGGCAACAGAGGGCACTTGAGCGGATATGTCAAGGGTAGCTCTGCGAGATCTCTCGCTGGGCAACAGAGGGCACTTGGCGGATATCTCAGGAGTAGCTCTACGAGATCTCTGGCTGGGCAACAGAGGGCACTTGAGCGGATATCTCAGGGGTGTCTCTGCAAAATCTCTCACTGGGCAACAGAGGGCACTTGAGCATATATCTCAAGGGTAGCTCCGCGAGATCTCTGGCTGGGCAGCAGAGGGCACTTGAGCGGCAATCTCAGGGCTAGCTCTGCGAGATCTCTCGCTGGGCAACAGAGGGCACTTGAGCGGATATGTCAGGGGTGGCTCTGCGAGATCTCTAGCTGGGCAACAGAGGGCACTTGAGCGGATATCTCAGGAGCAGCTCATGCGAGATCTCTCGCTGAGCAACAGAGGGCACTTTAGCGGATATCTCAGGGGTGGTTCTGCGAAATCTCTCGCTGGGCAACAGAGGGCACTTGAGGGGATATCTCAGGGGTAGCTCTGCGAGATCTCTCACTGGGCGACAGAGGGCACTTGAGCGGATATCTCAGGAGTAGCTCTACGAGATCTCTGGATGGGCAACAGAAGACGCTTCAGCGGATATCTCGGGTAGCTCTGCGAGATCTCTCGCTGGGCAACAGAGGGCACTTGAGCGGATATCTCAGGAGTAGCTCTGCGAGATCTCTGGCTGGGCAACAGAGGGCGCTTGAGCGGATATCTCAGGGGTAGCTCTGCGAGATCTCTCGCTGGGCAACAGAGGGCACTTGAGCGGATATGTCAAGGGTAGCTCTGCGAGATCTCTCGCTGGGCAACAGAGGGCACTTGGCGGATATCTCAGAAGTAGCTCTGCGAGATCTCTCGCTGGGCAACAGAGGGCACTTGAGCGGATATCTCAGTGGTGTCTCTGCGAGATCTCTCGCTGGGCAACAGAGGGCACTTGAGCGGCAATCTCAGGGCTAGCTCTGCGAGATCTCTCGCTGGGCAACAGAGGGCACTTGAGCAGATATCTCAGGGGTGGCTCTGCGAGATCTCTAGCTGGCCAACAGAGGGCAATTGAGTGGATATCTCAGGAGCAGCTCTGCGAGATCTCTCGCTGAGCAACAGAGGGCACTTTAGCGGATATCTCAGGGGTGGTTCTGCGAGATCTCTCGCTGAACAACAGAGGGCACTTGAGGGGATATCTCAGGGGTAGCTCTGCGAGATCTCTCACTGGGCAACAGAGGGCACTTGAGCGGATATCTCAGGAGTAGCTCTACGAGATCTCTGGCTGGGCAACAGAGGGCGCTTCAGCGGATATCTCAGGGGTAGCTCTGCGAGATCTCTCGCTGGGCAACAGAGGGCACTTGAGCGGATATCTCAAGGGTAGCTCTGCGAGATCTCTCGCTGGGCAACAGAGGGCACTTGGCGGATATCTCAGGAGTAGCTTTGCGAGATCTCTGGCTGGGCAACAGAGGGCACTTGAGCGGACATCTCAGGGGTGGCTCTGCGAGATCTCTCGCTGGGCAACAGAGGGCACTTGAGTGGATATCTCAGGAGTAGCTCTGAGAGATCTCTCCCTGGGCAACAAAGGGCACTTAAGCGGATATCTCAGGGGTGGCTCTGTGAGATCTCTAGCTGGGCAACAGAGGGCACTTGAGCGGATATCTCAGGAGTAGCTCTGCGAGATCTCTCGCTGGGCAAAAGAGGGCACTTGAGCGGATATCTCAGGGGTGGCTCTGCGAGATCTCTCCCTGGGCAACAGAGGACACTTGAGGGGATATCTCAGGGGTAGCTCTGCGAGATCTCTGGCTGGGCAACAGAGGGCACTTGAGTGGATATCTCAGGGGTAGCTCTGCGAGATCTCTCACTGGGCAACAGAGGGCACTTGAGGGGATATCTCAGGAGTAGCTCTACGAGATCTCTGGCTGGGCAACAGAGGGCACTTGAGGGGATGTCTCAGGGGTAGCTCTACGAGATCTCTGGCTGGGAAACAGAGGGCACTTGGCGGATATCTCAGGAGTAGCTCTACGAGATCTCTGGCTGGGCAACAGAGGGCACTTGAGCGGATATCTCAGGGGTGTCTCCGCAAAATCTCTCACTGGGCAACAGAGGGCACTTGAGCATATATCTCAAGGGTAGCTCCGCGAGATCTCTGGCTGGGCAGCAGAGGGCACTTGAGCGGCAATCTCAGGGCTAGCTCTGCGAGATCTCTCGCTGAGCAACAGAGGGCACTTGAGCGGATATCTCAGGGGTGGCTCTGCGAGATCTCTAGCTGGGCAACAGAGGGCACTTGAGCGGATATCTCAGGAGCAGCTCATGCGAGATCTCTCGCTGAGCAACAGAGGGCACTTTAGCGGATATCTCAGGGGTGGTTCTGCGAAATCTCTCGCTGGGCGACAGAGGGCACTTGAGCGGATATCTCAGGAGTAGCTCTACGAGATCTCTGGCTGGGCAACAGAGGACGCTTCAGCGGATATCTCGGGTAGCTCTGCGAGATCTCTCGCTGGGCAACAGAGGGCACTTGAGCGGATATCTCAGGAGTAGCTCTGCGAGATCTCTGGCTGGGCAACAGAGGGCGCTTGAGCGGATATCTCAGGGGTAGCTCTGCGAGATCTCTCGCTGGGCAACAGAGGGCACTTGAGCGGATATGTCAAGGGTAGCTCTGCGAGATCTCTCGCTGGGCAACAGAGGGCACTTGGCGGATATCTCAGAAGTAGCTCTGCGAGATCTCTCGCTGGGCAACAGAGGGCACTTGAGCGGATATCTCAGGGGTGTCTCTGCGAGATCTCTCGCTGGGCAACAGAGGGCACTTGAGCGGCAATCTCAGGGCTAGCTCTGCGAGATCTCTCGCTGGGCAACAGAGGGCACTTGAGCGGATATCTCAGGGGTAGCTCTGCGAGATCTCTAGCTGGCCAACAGAGGGCACTTGAGTGGATATCTCAGGAGCAGCTCTGCGAGATCTCTCGCTGAGCAACAGAGGGCACTTTAGCGGATATCTCAGGGGTGGTTCTGCGAGATCTCTCGCTGAACAACAGAGGGCACTTGAGGGGATATCTCAGGGGTAGCTCTGCGAGATCTCTCACTGGGCAACAGAGGGCACTTGAGCGGATATCTCAGGAGTAGCTCTACGAGATCTCTGGCTGGGCAACAGAGGGCTCTTCAGCGGATATCTCAGGGGTAGCTCTGCGAGATCTCTCGCTGGGCAACAGAGGGCACTTGAGCGGATATCTCAAGGGTAGCTCTGCGAGATCTCTCGCTGGGCAACAGAGGGCACTTGGCGGATATCTCAGGAGTAGCTTTGCGAGATCTCTGGCTGGGCAACAGAGGGCACTTGAGCGGACATCTCAGGGGTGGCTCTGCGAGATCTCTCGCTTGGCAACAGAGGGCACTTGAGCGGATATCTCAGGAGTAGCTCTGAGAGATCTCTCCCTGGGCAACAAAGGGCACTTAAGCGGATATCTCAGGGGTGGCTCTGTGAGATCTCTCGCTGGGCAACAGAGGGCACTTGAGCGGATATCTCAGGAGTAGCTCTGCGAGATCTCTGGCTGGGCAACAGAGGGCGCTTGAGCGGATATCTCAGGGGTAGCTCTGCGAGATCTCTCGCTGGGCAACAGAGGGCACTT